CTCAACCCCTCTGATCATCTTCGTGGCCCTCCTCTGGACCTGCTCCAGCAGGTCCATGTCTTTCCTATGTTGGGGACTCCAGAGCTGGATGCCGTACCCCAGGTGGGGTCTCACGAGAGCGGAGTAGAGGGGCAGAATCACCTCCTTTGACCTGCTGGCCACACAGGAAAAGAAGGAAGACCCCCAATGGCTATTGACGTTACGAGGAGACTAATGCAGGAGGTATGCCTGGATGCTTAAAAGCCTGTGGTGTGACCTACAATGAACAAAAGACCACTGTGGCAAGTGTGGTAGCCCCATATTCTGCAAAAATCTTCCAGTGCTGAAATGCCACAACAGTTCTTCATGAAACTGTTCCTTGAATTCCTCCTGTTTTCTGCACTGCTTCATAACCAAACCAGGCTGGCATGCAAGCACTGGTGGAGATGGGTAAGGAAGACAAGTTTCAACCCTCTGAGAAGCACTGTGCTATGCAGGTCATCAGACACCATCCTTGGCATCCTTTTTTTTTTGCATTTTGGGGATCAGCCAAAATTAGAAAAAACAGAAAACCCAAAGTGAGAATCACTTCTCTGCTCTGCATGTTGGAATGAATCTGGTGGGGATGGAGAGGAGTCTGCACGTGAACCTTTTCTTATGATCCATACCCAAAACATAAGTCTGAGAATAAGGTAGTGAGCATTATTAATTTGGTTAATAATTGCTCCTATATGTTTATTCATGACATTAACGCTTTGAGTACCTGAAAGCATGCCAGGCATTTTAAAGAAGCAATGAATGTTTCCTGCGGTGAAGAACTGCCCCCATTTTGCAAAGACCTGACACCTGGGAGATTTAAGCTCGGGTCCATCTCAGCCACATGTAGACAACTGAAGTTTGGTCTACGTGGTCAGCTGGGAGAGGGCACCCACCAGCACTTCTGGGATGAATTGCCAAGGGGTTATCTTTTTCATCGTCTTTGGGGACTGCACGCCCAGTTTCTGTGCTGCAGTTAGCAGGGACACCCCCACAGAGCGTGAAATTTGGGGAATCCCTGTGAGAAGAGGGTGCCCGGATGCCAGGAGCCTGTGGCAGGACTGTGGGGTGCAATGCAGTGTGTTCCTCTGTGCTCTGCTCTCCTCACATCCCAGACGGTTTTTGGGGGGGGCAGAATGATGAGAAGGGCTTTTTGCCCTTCTCAAGGACCAATGGGTGCCACCCCCTATTTGGCTGCCAGTAGCCTGAGCCAAGCACCTCTGCTGGTCCTGGTGGCATGGGCCCAGCAGAGGTGACCAGGCGGGGACTGTTAAAAGGGGGGGGGGGGAGGCTGGGAAGGTGAAGGATACAACTTCTAACAACATGTGCAAAAGGATCTTCAGTAGGGCCCTTCTCCTCAATGGGAACAGTGAGGTGGCATGGGAGCTGAGAGAGCGGCATCTTCGGGGGGGGTGAGGACCAAAGGGCCGTGCTTACCCCAGCTGCACTCTCTCAGCCTGGGAGAGCTACAGGGGATGCCGTTATCCACCAACAATGCCCATGAGTATGTTTATGTGGGTCCATTACTATTCTGATGATGTGTCTACACCCTTCCCCATCCCCAAAATCACTGACATCCCCCCACCCCCTTATCTCGGACGTAGGACGCAGCCCACACATGCAGAATTCATCTACGTTTACCCGGCAGTGGCATTCCAATCATAAAACTTCCAGGAAGGGAAAAGTAAAACAAAGGTCTGGTGGATACTCCCACGTGGTTTACCTATGAGAGGAACAAAGGAAAATAGCCTGCTTTCAGAGCTGTGGTGAATCGCTCAGAAACCATCTGCAGACATGAAGGGAATTGTATTTCTGGGGGAGAAAAAAAAAAAAAAAAAAAAAAAAGGAAAATGCAGGCCCTGGGATATCCCTTTATGGCATATGCATTTTATGTTTAAATGCATTAATGGGACTGCTATGCTGTGAGTCATCCCGCACAAGAGTTTCATGTGTTTCTTAAAATACACTAGAAGTAGCTGAAGGCATGCACGGGTTTGCCGTGCAGTTATCTGTCAGGAATCTGCGCGAATACCTGCACGCGTGGCACCACGGGCTTCAGAGCAGGGGGGGCCCTCCCCGTCCCTCTATGCTGCTTAAACGGACCAGGGCTGGGGAAACCAAACTGGGATAGGAACTGATGCCGCAGCGTAACAAAACGCAGGCTCCCTGTGCTATTAGGGAAGCCTCAGCACTGAATTACAGAAAATTTGCATATATGTAAACAGAAAAGCTGGAGAGTTTCCTTCTGAAGCACTCTTGTCAAAACTACAGCTGTCTGCTTTTTTTCCAAGGATGATTTGTTGTCTGGTTTTCTCTCTCTTTTTTTCTTTCGTTTACCAACAATCCTGGCTGCAAATCTGTTTGCTATTCCTTCAGCCCACACTTCAGAGCTTGATGGTGGCTGCTGAGCTCGACTCACTGCTCCTCGCGGGTCACTTCAGCTGCTGCTCGCTCTCGGGGTTACTCCTTTTTCGGAGAGCAGATAGGTTTAACATGGGAAGCGCCCAACGCAAAGTATTTCTGACGGTGCACGTTAAGTCCATGCTCGTGGACAAACGGTGGTAAAAAGACAACAGCTTTGTGACGCAAACCTTGGGATGGATGACGGTGAATTAGCGATTAGCGAAAAGCAAGAATTGGGGCTGGGGGGAAGCTGCGGCCAACGTAGAAAGGAGAAGCTCCTGGGAAGGGAGCTGGGCTCGCCTTCTCCCAGCAATTAGCCTGGCTTAACTTTTTTTTTTTGGTTGTTGTTTTCACACGTCGCACCCGGGCGATGCTGTCTCGAAAGCGCCGCAGCGGCATGTGAAATCTCTGGCACCGGTTCCCAGCGGCACGCGCCGCTGGCCCATAAACCCGCTGCTGCCATTTCTAGGGCTGCCTTTGCAGAAGCGACGCTCACCCTTGGCATTGTCTATGCTCCCCCTCAGTTTCTATAGGAAGCTGAAAAAGTCCTTGACTAAGGTAAATATCACTTACCAACAACTAAAACAATATGTATTATCAACATTCCTTTCATACCAAATCCAAAATACAGCAGCCACTATAAAGAAAATTAACTCTACCCCAGCTGAAACCAGGACAAGTAGTCTGGTTAATTAGCCTAGGCACAGCACTTTATTTGAACTACTGGTTTCCAGGATAGTTTGGGTGATTGAATGCCCCTACAATCTGCACTTAGAAAGGTTGAAAAGGGCTGTAGAAAGGAGGAGGAAGAATGGAGCAGAACCAGGAATTGTAGATATCCTATTAAAAACAATGTGATTGTCCTGGCAGATCATGGAGCTGCCTTCAAAAGCTGCATCAAATCAGTGATATTCAGAGAAATAATCAAGTCCTCTCTGTATCTCTGTATGTGAAGCATTTTACCAAGACTCTATATTGACAAAAAATTGTCACAGACCTCTACCTTCACAAATTCAGGGACCTGAAGGGTAGAAAAAGCCACAAAAGTCATAAATTTACAAGACACACACAACTCCCAAAGAAGTTTCCCTTGAGGTAGGATTATTTTACAGTGATGAGATCTCCCCTGCTATTTACTGAAATTGCTTCTCTGAGAGTTTCTCAAAGCCAGGGGAAATGGACTGAAAACCTGAAAATTCAAACACTTGCAGAAGACTATGTTAGGACATTTCCAGATAAAGTTTTTAGAAACAGAATGGGGAAGATAAATCAAAAAGGTTTACAAAGACAGTTCTCTACCCTTTCACAGAAATTCTTCCACAAGCTTGAGAGGTAGATAAAAATTATTGTGACAGAGAAGAAAGAAGGGGTCAGAGGTAAAATAACTTTGCCAATGCCACTACAGTCAATCAGTGGCAAAACTGGCAATACAAGTCAGAAGTCCAACCTGGCGGTCTCCCATTACTCTCATTAGATCATCCATGCTCTTCACAGACTTTGTCTCATTTGCTGTGATCTTTTCAAGATGATCTCTAACAATATCATTGTGATCCACTACTTATTTCTGTGAGGAATTCTGTCTGAAATCTGTCAGCAAGCTTTACATATTTATTAGTAAAGTAATATCTATATAAAAATAAATATTTATTAACATTTATTGACTTAAAATAATCTCCCTTCCTCTCCCTTCAGGAAAATCCATTTTCTTCCTATTTTGACATCTGATCCTAATCTTAGACCTGATAAAACAGTGTGCCATGTACCCTACCTTCTGCTCTTTTAGATGCTGTTCGCGGCTGCTTTCAACGCCCTTGAGAACGAATTTTGGTTTGATTTCCTCTTTACAGGTGTTCCCCCTCAAACACTACCAGGACAAGATCCGGCCTTACATTCAGCTGCCGTCACACAGAAACATCACCGGGGTCGTCGAAGTCATCCTCGGGGACACCAAGGCCTATGTGTTCTTTGAAAAGGACTTTGGGGACATGCACTCCTACGTGAGGAGCTGCAAGAGGCTGAGGGAAGAGGAGGCTGCGCGGCTGTTCAAGCAGATCGTCTCCGCTGTAGCTCACTGCCACCAGTCGGCCATCGTACTCGGTGACCTCAAGCTCAGGAAATTTGTCTTCTCTAATGAAGAAAGGTAAGCGGTTGTCACCAGCCAGCCCTGGGGTGAGTGGGGAGGGAGGAATGCCACATCCAGAGACGCAAAAAGCGTCCCAGGGAGTGGAAATGGCCGTGTCAGCCGGGCATCACCTGTGAGCGATCCGAGTAGGTCCCCATCACGTGTGTGTAGCAGGTCACGGATCTAACCCGTACGCGCTTACTCTAAGTTAGATCTCGCCTGATGAAAGGGAGGGAGGAAGCTCTGCGGGAGCTTCCTCTCATTCAGAAGCTCAGTGAAACCCGCCGGTAGACAAAGGGACGATAGTTTGGATGCTCGTTAGTGCCAGAAGATGTCATGTGTGCCACTCAGTCCATGTAAAATGAATAAAAGGCCAAGAGAAGGAGCAGAGGGAGGCTGAGGCGCTGGGCCAGGGAGGGGGACCAGCTCAGCTGCGGGAGCAGGAGGTGTGAGGAGCTGGAGCTCGGGTCCCTCCTCGCGCCCGGGAGAGCTGCCCCGTGGCCATGGCCGAGCGGTGGCGCTCAGGAAGGGTCTTCTCACTGAAATCCCCTGCTGATCAGGGTTATGCTGCTAGCAAAAGACCAGCTGTGTCCTTCGAGGCGTTTATCCCTCCTCCACTGCTGGTGATGGTGCTTTCCGTGCTCCCTGTGCCTGTGGATGTGGGCATGCACGGGAGGGAAGGTGGGACACCAGTTAAATATGGCTTTGGGAATCCTGCTCTGAGGAAAAGCACTTTGGTAAAACTTAGCCTAAAGCCTAGGTTTGTAGAGAGGAGATCCAGAATCTAGTTGTTAAATTTAGATTAGGGAAATAATACACTATTTCCCTGGAGTGTTTGCTGCTCTTCTAGTGCCTTGCCGCACGTGGCAGAGCCAGAAATACATTTTTGATCAGGAAAACTGACTCTGACTAGCTGCTTATCCTGAGGAAAGCTAAAAAAATAAGTAAAAGCTGTAGTGGAGCTGTACTTAATCTGATGAAACTGGAAGTCATATTACCGAAGCAGAAGCAAACACATTTTCTGGGCTAACGCTTCTTCAGGATATCATTTATAGATGTGATAAGAAAATTAACCAGCGCTGCCCCTCTCAAACAGAAACAACCATATGTTGACATGCAAAGAAAGTAATTCCTTTGAAAGAAGCTATTGCAGCTTTTCCCGCCCATGAGAAGATGAAACATTTGTTGAAATGTTACATTGCGCACAGTCTCGCTCGTTTGGAAATAACGCGTTGCACAGGCGAGTGTCATGTGCATCCCATTTGGCAAGAAGAGGGTTAAGCAATGGCAGGCGGACTCCGGCTCTCCGGCACAGGTGCAGTTTCAGGGCTCCCGCAGCCGATCCCGGCCCCACGGTTCGCGTTGAGTCATATTTTCCGTTTGCAGAACCAATGGGTATTTGGCGAGGTCACGCTGAGGACAGGCTGCAGCCAACGCATCTACACCCGGCCACGGCCACGGCAGCGCTCAGCCCTGCCCGCGCCAGCCTCTGCCTTCCGCGCCCACCCCCAGATCCCCTTTCCCCCCAGAAGAATAATTGTTTAAAAAAAAAAAATAAAAAAATACAAAACTCGGGAGAGCTACCGGTTCCCGCCAGCGCGGAAGGGAGCTGGACTTTGGGGTTTGCAAAATAACGCAGCTGGACGCTGTATGCTCAAAGCCTGATGCGCAAATAGCGGCGTGTACAATGCATTGTAGCCGATTTACCCCCTGCAGCTGCAGTGCGACCTGTGTAGACAGGAGGTGACTTGCTGGTGTCTCTCGAGAGCCCTCGGTGTTGTTAAAATCCCCGGTCAATAAAATAAGCAGGTGTCGCTGAGCGCCCAGCCGACGCACGTGGCTGCGCTGCCATTACGCGGGTCCAGGACTCCAGGCAACTTCACCGCTGCAAATTAAAAAGTGTTTCCTCTCCTTTTCTTTATGCCGATGGGAGAAGGGGAGCCGGGGCTGCGTTGGCGGGGGGCTCGCCGTGCTCGCTTGTGCCTGGGTGTTGCTGTTTCTAACCTGCGGCTTCCTCTCCTGCCCTGCCTAGGACGCAGCTGCGGCTGGAGAGCCTGGAAGACACGCACATCATCAAAGGCGAAGACGATGCGCTCTCGGACAAGCACGGCTGCCCGGCGTACGTCAGCCCTGAGATCCTAAACACGACGGGGACTTACTCTGGAAAATCGGCCGACGTGTGGAGTTTAGGGGTGATGCTGTATACCTTGCTGGTGGGCCGCTATCCCTTCCATGACTCGGACCCTAGCACTCTGTTTTCCAAAATCCGGCGTGGACAGTTCTGTATTCCTGACCACATCTCCCCCAAAGCCCGATGCCTCATTCGCAGCCTCCTGCGGCGGGAGCCCTCTGAAAGACTCACTGCTCCAGAGATCTTGCTTCACCCTTGGTTCGAGGCGGTCTTGGAGCCTGGATATACAGACCAGGAGACGGGAAATTCGGATCAAATTGTTCCAGAATACCACGGAGACAGTGATGATATTAGTTCCTTCTTCTGCTAACCCCGAAATCTCAAAAACCTCAGCGGTTCTCACCTCTGACATCTTCGTAGGGTTTCGTTTTTCCACATTTGCAAACTCAACAGCATCTTAAAGTGCCAGTATGGTCAGAGAAGTGACCTTGTTCGAAATAAACGCCAACCCGTAGATCTCCGCTCCCTGAGTGTACTCAGAGTTTCATCCTCGTGCTCTGCTGGTAGGTCCGTCCTGCCGGCCCTGGAGGACCTGTGCAGCTTTGCGAGAGCCGCCTGGCTTTCCTCCTGCCTCCCGCATCCTCCACCGGTGTAACTGGCCGTGTTTTGGCTCCAGAGTCTTACGGCTGATGAGGTGTGAGACAGAAAGGCAGCCCTGTCTGCTTCCCCGCAGTGGCTACAGAGGCGCGGAGCCCCAGCAGCGATGCTGAGGAGGTGGGGGGCACGAGGCGCGCCTCTAACTGAGCAAATCTGACAGAAATGGGTAAAAAGGGGAATCGACTCGGCGCGCCACACCGGTCGGCCTGCAAAGTAGCTTTCTGACTGTAAGCACACTTTAATGAGGGAAGGAGGTCTTCGCCCACCACGGCCAGCCGCCTGCTTGCTGCTGCTCCTCCAGCTGATCTTGCTTTCAGAGCCATGAAGCTCCCAGATTCACCTGTAAGACAAATCACGGCTGTGGCTCTTTCTGAAGCAGAAACTGGTGGATCTCCCAGCCGGTTCCCCTCTGATTCCATCGCTGACCCAGAAAGCATTTTAAATAGACTTAAGCCTCGCGTTACCATGGTGTAGCCTATATAACTTTATGCCCTCAGCGAGCTTGTCAAGTAGCAGGTCTCGTTAGCTCCGAGTGCCAAAACATATCCGTTTACCAAACCGTAACACTATCGGCTGGGGCGCCTTCTCTTGGAAAACGATAAGGGGTATCTTGTACAGTACGTGTAAACACGGTCGTGTTTTCCTACAGGCTCAACTCTTTAAAAACATCACATCCCCTCTCCTCTTCCCCTCTCCACCCCCCAAAAATTTAGTCTTAAGAGGAAAATCTCCATACGCCCTTAGTTGATTATTCAGGTATGTTGTTTGCCTCTGGCTACATATTTTTTTTTCCCCTTAAATTTTTTTTTTTTTTGCATGATTATTCGTAGTCTTTCCAAAGTGCGTGGATAATAAATATATCTAAATCATTAATTTCCTGGGTTAGGGGTAAGTAAAGCTTAGTCCTGCCTAAAATTTCTGCTTCGTTTTACATTGGTGTCCAGTGGCTTACGCAAAGAGATGTCCATTCGCCTTAGGCGAGAGCGCAGCTTCTGAAATGGCCGTGAGGTGGGTAACGCATGTCCCCGACACGGCACAGTTGGAGTGAAGTCATTTTAAGGGTTAACCCCCGGCAAGCTGCAGTCCCACCACCCGTTGCGAGAATACCATGTATACCTCATGGACTGTGTACATTGTACATACCTTACTGTTTGGGGTTTTGTTTTCTCGTTTTGCTGTACTTTGTTCGTCCTAATAAGAGGTGTCGAAGAGCAATTTAATGTGAATTATTGTTGGCAATACTAACTTGACAGAATCATGAGCATTAAGAGCAGGGCGCTCCAGCTCTCCGTTGCACTAAACCTCTCATGATTGCTTGACATTTGTATCTGTGATACAGTTTAACCCTTCTATGAAAAACAGTACATTTGTATATATTGGTAGAAAACTCTGCCAGAAAAGCTAAAAACACTATGTCCCACTTGTAAATATGTATATGTATGTGGAAACCTGGATGATAAAGTCTGACTTGTAGAAAGTTTTAATAAACTCGGTTTCATAATGTTTGTCCCCATTTCTTGCGGGGTCTCGAGGGGAATGCAGCTTGAGTGTGTTTGGTTTCATCTGAAAAAGTGGGGGTTGGCCTCAAAGAGGATCAGCTCATCTATAGTCCCAGACGTGCCCCGCCATGCCTGAGCCCCCGGGGTCTGCGCCCGAACTCCCCCAGCTCTGCCCAGGGGAATCCCCATGGAGGGGAGTGGGGAGGGGGGATGGCTTCTGCCTCCTGGGGGGTGGAAAGGGCTATATGAAATGAGGTATCCTGTTGGTCTGATAAACAAGGGGGAGAGGAGTTACAGCTCTGCCCCTGAACCTGAGAAACCCTGTTGCCTTTCAGCACATATATTCGTTTCCATCCGCGCCCCGCGAGCAGAAAATGCTGTGGCACCGCAAGGCTGTCACGCTGCACCTGCGTGCGCGGTGATGCGATGCTCGAGCCAGTGGAAAATCACATCTCAGGTGTCTAAAAGTGAGCAGCCACAAGCAGAGGCAGTGGTTGAGAGCATCAGCTTTACCAGGGGGCGGGAGCCAGTGGGAAGGGGCTTGACCCGCTTCTGGGTCACAGCGCAGAGCCCACCCGGTGCTCCTGTTAAAAATGAGGGGAGAGATTATTAGAGCTGCTTTTCTTTGTGGTGAGAAGAGAGGAGTATAAATAGCAGCAGTATCAAGGTTAGAGAATGTGCTTCCCTGAAAGAGATCAAGCCACCCTTGTAATCCACCCGGAGCGGTGAGATCATCGCTCACAAGTAGAGAGGAGGAGGAAGAGAGTCTTGATTTTTATTTATACTTTGCCTCATGTTTAACTTTGTCCTTTTGCTTGAAATCTGTTCACCAGAGCAACTGCTTCCAGGCAGCTCTTTGAGCAGGAGCAACTTTTAAATAGGCTCTGCTTTTAGAAGGGGAGTGGAAAGAGAAAAGGAGGGAACAGGATCCTGGTCAATGACAAAGCAAAGTGCACCGACTTTAATTAGGCACCTTGACTCCCACTCTGCAAAACCCGCAATCTGTGCAGTAAGCATATTTTCTTAGCACTTGCTGAGTGAATGTCAGACACCAAAATATCTCAAGTTACTTTGCTGATATTATTCTTGCAAGACTTGTAAAAATACATGCTCCGCATAGCCTGGCTGATTAAATTAGCCCCTGCCCTACCATGCTTTCATGCTTGGACAGAAGCCCTCATGCATCCCCTTAAAACAACTGCAGGAGGTTCGTGTTTTGATGAAACCTTGAAAACTTTCAAAACACTTTCCCCCCCCCTGCAATTAAGTCATCCTTAGTAGGTGAACGTGTAGGTCATCCCATGACTTTATTTCACATGAGCTACACTGTAGAGCAATTAAAATAAACGCCAAATTGTAGTAACATCTGCAAACAGCCTCTGTGTTGCTTTAGGGATTATAATGCAACATCCGTTTGTACAGCAGAATAAATTGCTATTGCTTCGTAACCCCATCGTTTGTATTATTGTATACAAAGTTTCAGAGCATGTTGAAAGAACCAGCGTATTAAGTGATTAAACTTTGATGGTGGGTGTGAGAACTTTGGTTTATGCAATGCATTACATTTCTTTTTGAAAGAGTCATAATTTGTCTATTTTTAAATGGACCTTTTGGACGAGGACTGTCTGAATCTCTTATGTTTTTCTCAGAGCTGGTCACCGTCTTCATCTTGAAGTTGAAAGATGTTGCTGGCCTCTCTAAAAAGCTCTGGGAGCCTTCAGTCCTCCTCTGTTTGCTGCTGAAAACACAAAAGTTGAGGTTTTTCACAACATCCTGGACTCCATCCTAAAGCGGCGTCAAACTGCCTCCCAGTCAGGACACATCTTACATTCTAAATATGTATTTTTATCAACTCTTGATACTTCGGCTGCATTTTAGGCATCAGTTCAATAATTTTCTTTTAAAGTAGCACAGCAGAATTTATAAACCAGCTTCCTCTTAAAGTGCCAGGTAAAACCGCCAGCTCAGCAAGCTCAGGCTTAAGGTCAACTTCTCTTTGCCAAGCAGGTGATACTGCTGAGGTTATTTGCAGTTAATTAAGAAGGATTGGTAGAGGTTCAATTCTACCTATGCTAAAAAAATGCCCTGATTTTAGGAGAACACCGTCAGGTCGGTCAAAGGCACTTCTGCATCAACGTATTATTTATGAAAGAAAAGGGGGAAAGGAACAATTTTTTATACAGATGTACAAGAGGAAGATTCGTTGCACTTGGCTGGAACACAAAGCCGGTGCAATGCTCTTCTCTAGCTCTGCTTTAATGCACCGAGGGCAGGCCCAAGAGATAACTTGAAAAACACATTTTATTCAACCAGTGCTGAGTGCATTCTGTCAAGCAAATCTCTTCAAATTATCTCTTTATACATGAGCAGATTTTTTTTCCCCCGCTTTTTTCATGCTATTGCACTCTGTCAGGGAAAAAAACCCCCAACATTTAGCATTACGGCACTGCACAGATTTAGCAGCACAAAGAAATATCCTATGCAAATGCTTCTTACAAATATAATGTTTTCCTAGCGAGCATTGAGAAGAATAGCTTGACATGTAACCACGGTCTGAATTAATCCCTTGCAAAAAATGGCTTTGTTAAATGCAACATCTCTCAGAACTATTGTTGGTAAAAGTACCGTGAAATTTGCAACAGTTCTTACCATGATTCCTCCATAACTTGCAAAATCCCGTTCTCCAAGTGAAATCCAGAGTTCAGATTTCAGCCAGGATCAATGTTTGTTGCAGCAAAACGACAAATCCTTCAGGATATGAGTTCACAGCAGGAACTTTTTTTTTTATTTATGAAGCCAGCTATTTAGAAAATGCCTTAAAGAAAACTCATTAGTTTTCATTGCCCTGTATGTATTTATTTACAGTATTTAACCAGCTAAACAAGCTAATGTGCAGCACTTCATTTCCTAATTTGGCTTTGAAGCCGGAGCAGCAGAAGTATCAATTACATTCTGTCAAATGCAAACATTAACATAACTGTATGAAGCAATCATGTTTCTAACAACAGCGAGCACTGCCCAGAGGACCAAAATAAATAAAATTCATAGAGCAAGAGGTAAGGCTTTTCTTTACGGCAGGATTAGGGCTGGCGAGCGCCCGGGCGCTTTCCTCTCCAGGGACATTTGTCTCGCGGGGCTGCGGAGGCAGCTCCGGCGCTGAAACGCAGGTGATTAATAAGGCACTTGCTCACGGTCTCATCACAGCGGGCGTGGA